GAGCCCTGGGACTCTAAAGAGGCCCAGGGAGAGACTAGCCAGTGTCCCTGCAATGTTGGTGTGTTTTGGGCGGATTCCCTGCTGACTTGGTGGAGAACCCATTTGCCACCATCAGAGCCCTGGGCTAGGACCCGGTGGAGCAGGGAGGGCCCTGGTCCCCCTACCCTGGCCATCCCCCTTTTGGGGGGAGGCCCACCAAACCTCCCTTACTGACTTTGGCCATTGGGCCACACTCCCCTGCAACCCAAGGGGAGGTCCTATTGATTCTGGCCATTGGGCCATGTGGCCCTCAGGCTAAGGGCAGCCATACTGATGTAAATGCGGCCCTATCACTCCCTTGCCATAACCCCCAGGGTTGATGTTGCTCTGTGACAGACAGTTATTCTAAAACAGTCTAATACAAGGTTTCTTGCATCTTGCTTATTTTCTCCATAGTTCCTTGTGTTGGGCCCTTTAAAGTTTTCATATTTGGCTGACCCAAAAATGTAGCATAAAAGGGAATCTGATTCACTTCAAGCCATCAACCTCCTCTGATGCAATGTAATATTTTCATTTCCTTTTTTTCCCCCTCCAGGTTTGGCTGTATTTAGTGACCTTTCCATCTGGATGTGTTTCATCTTAGCTGATGGGAACAGAATGCTTATGAATCCAGGGAATAGTATTGTCAGCAATGTGCTCTCAAATGTGAACAATGGGTCTAGAGGCACATCTTGCAAGACACAAGCCTCCCACAAAAGTTTGAGGGTGGTGGGGATCAGTGTCAGGAAGAGAGCCCACTAGTGTCAGGGGGTAGGAACAGTGCGGTGGCAGATGCCTGTCATTCTTATCTTACTGTTGAATCTCTAAGAGCTGTCTGACAACACTGACGCTATATCTTACTCCACAAATGGTTCTATTGATTTTGACTGCTCAATGGGGCCTGATTTTCATTTACACTACAGCTTTTATACTGCTACCCCAGACTAGCAAAATCTGTCCCTATAGGAATTTATCCCCCGTTTGTGGCACTGAGACCAAAAATCAGAGCAAGTGGGCTCCTACTGGAAATCATCTGATAAGGGTATGTATTTGTTTTAATATTAAAAGCTCTGCTAGCATCCCCAGCGATTTATGAGCCTGGCACCAATTGTGGACAGCTGCCCTTCCCTGCAGTTTTTATTATTAAATAGAACTTTGTGAGAGCCCAGACTTAATGCCAACACTGAGGCAGGTTCCTGCATTTCATTTACTTGCTCACTTCTTATTTATGAGGGCTTGGCCACACAGCTAAGTCTTGGAGCTGAGATAAAGCATCATTAGCATTGAGGAAGTGGAGTGAGAAAGAGACAGGTCTGACTGCTGTTTCTTTGTTTAAATAGATTTTTCTTCACTGGTTAAGATCAGCTACCGAAAAAGAAAAGGAGAAAGAAAGGGGAGAGTGTGAAAACAATTTTTTAAAGAGCTATTTAGGGTCATGTAATCAACAGCTGAAGCAAGATCCGAGCCTGTTCCCATTGAAGATAATGATGGTTTTGCTAGGGATTTCAATGCAGGGAGAAAGGGGTAAGACTGGGCCTATAAAGCAAAAGTTGGTACTTTTAATAACCACATTACCAGCTCTTGCAGTTTTATCACAAGTGTTGGCATATTTCTGTTCTTAAAGCACCAGGTCCCAAAGTCCTGGGACTATGGAAAATCTCCACTTTCATTTTAAAAAAACTCAGTTTCTACCCTCATGATTGTAGAGGAAAGCTTGAAAACATGAATCCTAGAGGCTTAAAAAAAGAAACAGCAAATAAGATCCCAAAATTATTATTTTTAAGCCAACTTCATAATTTTGGGGAGGGCCTGACTCGTGTTTTGAATGGTTAGGGTTGACAGTCGTGTATAAGCAGTGATATCTTTTTGCATTCTAGGCGCCAGATTTCAGCAGGTGTAGGTCAGCCTAGCTCCTCTGACTGCAGGATTTCCATTGTGCTAGGCCAATTTACACCAGCTGAGGATCTAGCCCTATATTAAACTCTTTCCTTCCATCTGTGCCTTTCCTCTTCCTGCATTCCACATTTCCTTATTCTTCCATGAATATGCTCTTCACTTAGAATTTGTCCATCTTCACATCAGGCCAGTTTTCCAAATGGTTTCTGCTTTTTAAACGTTTCTTCCTCTAAAACCCTTCAGGGCTCTTTCTAGAAGAAAAAGATTGTTTCCACTTGTTCAGCTTTTCTCACCCTTCATATTTTCACCTTTAAAGTTATCTTTGTTCCTCTCTGACCCCAATCCCTCTGATTCTCCATTGATGTGTGTCTCTCTCTCCCACCTCTGTCCTTATTCCTTCTCTTTCCTTTCCTCTGAATGTTGTCTAGATTAGGGTTTAATGGTGTAACGTTAGAGAAAATTAAATAGCTAGGACTTCCCTCTGGGGTTTGATTTGGCCAGTTTAGCACATTCTAAAGTACAACTGCTTTGTCTTGACTCGTTTTAGGTGTTAATTAATTTGAGTTAGCTAAACTGATCTAACATCACTCCTAGTCTAGAGAACGACATAAAAGGAAGTAGAAGCGGTATGCTATTATACTACAGTTAATGTTGAAATAAAATTTGATTTTCACTCTTCCCCCCCAGGACTTTAAGAACACTTCCGTGCCAACTGGCAAAGGGTTCATTGTTCTGTAACGGTGACTCTTCACAAACTCGCTGCTTTTCGAGTATTTATTCGAAGAGGGTCAAGTGAGGAATCTAATAAGAGCTTATTTCATACTCACAGACTTTAAGACCAGAAGGGCCGATTGTGATCATCTAGTCTGACTCCTGCACATTGCAGGCCACAGAACCTCACCCACACACTTCAGTAATTCAGCTAGAAGTTAGAAGTCCTCAGATCATGATTTAAAGACTTCACATTACAGATACTCCATCATTTACACTAGTTTAAACCTTCATATGTGTAGGGCTCCTTGCCCTAGGGTTAGGGTTCCTATTGGTAGGGTACTCAGACCTATAGTGTCATTGTAGGCACTACTAATGGGGACGTGACCATGTACCTTGATGCTCCCATTGGTAACTCAGACATCTCCTTTGTAGTGTTCTCAAATTTTCTTTAAGCTTCAGCAAAAACTGTATGAGGCAAAGGGTGTTAGGATATTGGTTCCCTGTTCATTGTCTGTAGTAATCAAAGAGTACCCTGAAAAGAATGGAATTGGTCCTTATCAGCACAGACACATCAGAGACTCCTTTAAGGTCTGGGCATACTAATGCTTCAGTGTCCACTTCTTCTCTCACCTCAGCAACCTCCTCTGGAAATTCCAGATGCACTATGACATTCCCTTAGTCGGAGTATTCATTTATTCTGCACCCACACAGGTCACGTCCCATCAGTGGTTGTGTAGGCAGGTGCCTAAGCATCTGTGGGTAGAAGGACTGAAATATAATAGTCACTTGAGCATTGCTTTGCATTCTGTCTCTTCGATCTTCACTGTGACCTCTGCTCGAGGCCTATCAATCCTGGCGGGATTCTTCAAGTCCTGCAGGCATGGGAGGGCTCCTTCCCAAGCCCCTTTGGCTGTTCCTCAGCTCCTCCCAACCGGTCCTCAGCTTTTGATACACTAAGGAAGGATTTTCTTCATTATGACACTTGGCAGCAGCATGTCCATACTGGCCATAGGGGTAGCAGAAGGATTGTCCTTTCCCCCTCAAATCTGGTGGGATGGTGCCTCTAACCACTGACTTTTCTATCACTGCAGCCAGAGGCTCTTTATGCCTGGAAGGCTTAGTTCAATCAAAGGTACTTCATAGCTCAGCCATCTGTTCCATCAGTACCTGCACTTGTTGGGCAAGTTCCTCTCTGATGCTCACCATCAGTACACTGGCTGTTCGCAGGAGTGCTGTGCTGGCTGGCTCAGATGGTTGGGTTTCCCAAAACTCACTGGTGCCTGCCTTTCTTTCTCCTCTCTGATCTGTTTTATGAGCTTGGAGATAACCATTGGAAGATGTATGTATGGATAATATTTAAGGAGCTGTGTATATATTGGAAAATATGTTTAAAGCAGTGTTGTCAAGCAGGTTTTGACCAGACAAAGGGGATGTATATTCACCTGTCCGCCTTGGTTCATATGTAAAATAAGCATTGTAAGCCAACACAATTGATGTCTGTCTACATATGGCATCAGCATGAGGATGTGAAGGCAACATGGACACTAGCACCCCAGTTAATAAACTGGGGGGGGGGGGGCTGACTTTGGGGACAAAACAATGAACGTTAGGGATGTTAGGAGAAGGCAAAAGGACACATCTTTATCCTTCACTGAGGAAGCCAAAAGGACTGCACTTTTTGCACAAAAGGAGGATCCTATCCATATTGGTTGAAAATGCTGGGAGCTTGCTCTGGGTGAGATGAGCTACTTTAGATGAGGAATTAGCCTGTTAATGTTAAGTTTAGGTTCTACGATGTATGTTGCACTTTTTGTTTTATATGTAACCATTTGTGTTTCTCCTTGTTATCCTTCCAATCTCTCAAATCTTAACCTTTGATAATAAACTTATGACTATTCTCATTATATAATCTCAGTGCTGTGATGTTATATTGGAGCTGATCCGTAGTTGAATCAAACAAACTGGTGTGTTTACACTGTTCCTTTTGTGGACAGCTTACCTGGTAATTTCTATGAGTGTCCAGTGATAGGGGCTGTATACTACAGGGGGCAATTTCAGAGGAGCTTGGGGGCTAGGGTGCACCTCTTGTAAACCTGCAAGGTAAACTGAGGGCTGACTTAGTGCAGAGGAGATTATTTGGGTGGCTAGCAGGCTGCGAGAGTCAGGGCTCTGACACCCAGTTAAGCACAAGCAGGCCTCTTTCTCACTGAGGCAGTGATTCGCAGTCCTGGATATCCGAAGAACCATCACGGTACCCCCTTTTCCCAGTTGCACATACATTTCTCAAACTGAAATTTTCCCAGTTTAGTTGCAACCCTGAGGTCATTTCTAGTGTGTGAACATTTCTGACAAATGCATTAATCTCTTTTTAGGTCCTTTGGTTCTGCCCTTGGTTACGTGAGTCAATGGAAGCTACACCTGTGTAACTGAGAACACAACTGGACCTTCCTTATGGAGCAGTGCTTCTGTGCAATGTTCCACTGGCAGCTGCTACGCTCCATACCAGCACCCAGTTCAAGACCAGGGCAAGGCGGAAAGGATTATGCATTTGTAGTAGGTAAGCAGGAGCAGTACCTCCCAGAAACACTTCCACATGGACATCCACCCAAGCCACAGCACAGCCTGTCACAAATAGTGGATGGCTTCTCCTTTTCCCAACCCGCTGTGGCTACAGATTCCAGAGGGGCCCTCCTAGAACTGGAGAAGAGAATGTGGCTCTCTCCCCCAGGTGTGCTGCTCTTTCCTCTGCCTTTCGCTATGCTGCTTCTCTGCATAGTGGAGTACAGCATGTGGCCTGTGTGGTTTTTAGTTCCAACTGAAGAGATAACTTTGGGTTGGGAAGAAAATACAGCAGCAAAGATGTTCCTTGTGAAATGGAACTTGTTCAGACTTTACTGCCAAGGGTGCAACATATAAAACAAGTAAGTAGGGACAAAATTAGAAAGGCCAAGACACAAAACGAGATCAAACTAGCTAGAGACATAAAAGGTAACAAGAAAGCATTCTACAAATACATTAGAAGCAAGAGGAAGACCAAGGACAGGGTAGGCCTGTTACTCAATGGGGTGGGAAATAATAACAGAAAATGTAGAAATGGCAGAGGGGCTTAATGACTTCTTTGTTTTGGTTTTCACCAAGAAGGTTCATGGTGATTGGGTGTCTAACAGAGCAAATGCCAGTGAAAATGAGAGAGGATCAGAAGAGGCTAAAATAGGGAAAGAACAAGTTAAAAATTACTTGGACAAATTAGATGCCTTCAAGTCACCAGGGCCTGATTAAATGCATCCTAGCATACTCAAGGAGCTGACTGAGGAAATATCTGAGCCATTAGAGATTATCTTTGAAGAGTCATGGAAGACGGGAGAGATTCCAGAAGACTGGAAAAGAGCAAATATAGTGCCAATCTATACAAAGGGGAATAAGGACAACCTAGGGAATTACAGACCAGTCATCTTAACTTCTACCTGGAAAGATATTGGAGCAAATAATTAAGCAATCAATTTGCAAACATCTAGAAGATAATAAGGTGATAAGTAACAGTCAGCATGGATTTGGCAAAAACGAATTGTGTCAAACCAACCTGATAGCTTTCTTTGAGAGGGTAATAAGCCTTGTGAATGGGGGGAAGTGGTAGACGTGGTACATCTTGTCTTTAGTAAAGCTTTTGATACTGTCTCTCATGACTGTCTCATAAACAAACTAGGGGAATGCAATCTAGATGGAGCTACTATAAGGTGGGGGAAAAAACTGGTTGGAAAACAATTCCCAGAGAGTAGTTATCAGTGGTTTACAGTCATGCTGGAAGGGCATAACAGTGGGGTCCTGCAGGGATAAGTTCTGGGTCCGGTTCTATTCAATATCTTCTTCAATGATTTAGATAATGGTATAGAGAGTACACTTACAAAGTTTGCGGACGATACCAAGCTGGGAGGGGTTGCAAGTGCTTTGGAGGATAGGATTAAAATTCAAAATGATCTGGGCAAACTGGAGAAATGATCTGAAGTAAATAGGATGAAATGCAATAAGGACAAATGCAAAGTACTCCATTTTGGAAGGAACCAGTTGCACACATACAAAATGGGAAATGACTGCCTAGGAAGGGGTACTGTGGAAAGGGATCTGGGGGTCATAGTGGACCACAAGCTAAATATGAGTCGACAGTGTAATGCTGTTGCAAAAAAAGTGAACATCCTTCTGGGAGTATTAGCAGGAGTGTTGTAATCAAGACACAAGAAGTAATTCTTCTGCTCTATTCCACACTGATTAGGCCTCAGCTGGAGTATTGTGTCCAGTTCTGGGCACCACATTTCAGGAAGGATGTGGACAAATTGGAGAGTCAAGAGAAGAGCGACAAAAATGATTAAAGGTTTAGAAAACATGGCCTATGAGGGAAGATTGAAATAATTGGGTTTGCTTAGTCTGGAGAAGAGAAGACTGAGAGGGGACATGATAACAGTTTTCAAGTACATAAATGGTTGTTACAAGAACGAGGAATAAAATTTGTTTTTCTTAACCTCTGAGGATAGGACAAGAAGCAATGAGCTTAAATTGCAGCAAGGGAGGTTTAGGTGGGCGATTAGGACAAAACGTCCTAACTGTCAGGGTGGTTAAGCACTGGAATACATTGCCTAGGGAGGTTGTGGAATCTCCATCATTGGAGATTTTTAAGACCAGGTTAGACAAATACTTGTCAGGGATGGTCTAGACAATACTTAGTCCTGCTACAAGTGCGGGGAATGGACTAGATGACCTCTCGAGGTCCCTTCCAGTCCTATGATTCTATGATTAGGAGTTTGTTTTTCAGGAAACTGAGGCAATGGTGTGACCCAAGGACCTCTTGATGCTGCCTGGTGCGGGCACAGAGGTACATAGGGTTACAGAGATTCTCTGGATTCACCGAAAGGGGCCAGGTAAGGTCTCTACTGAAAACCTGTGTCATACTTGTCGTCATCATTACAAATGCATGGGCAGATAATGTGCAAGGAGTTATGTATGTGTACTGAAAATTCTGTTCTCCAGGCCTTATAATAATAAATGCAGGGCATTCAGAGGCAGAATTCATTGAGACAAACTTCTCCAGACAGGAGGTGGGAGACACACATAGCTTCCGGATTGATCATTGTGTGTCTTATAATGGAGGTCTTTTTGCATATGGAGTTAAATGCTAATGAAATTGTGAGGTCTGCAGGAAAAAACAAAAACAGCCAGGGATATCCCTTTTATGTGTAACAACGTACCTCTTTTAGAGGTATAACTGGAGGTGTGGAGCTATACCGTGGATCTTTCAATCTGTAAAGACAAGCTGACAGGAGGTTTGCTCTTAAGAAAGGAGGATCTCAGCCATCCTAGTTGAAAATGCTGAGAAAAGGACTTGGGGGATGGTATGCTATACTGTAGGAGATAACGGAAATGTTTTGTGAATTAAGTGTAGGATCTAGCAAGTGTGTTATGAGTTTGTTTTCTATGTAACCATTGGTTTCCAATATTCTTACACATTATCATTTGAATCACTGTGCTTTGATAGTAACCTTATTCTCGTTTTCACTGTCAATCCATCCAAGTGCTGTGCGTTAAGCAGAGTGGTGAGCTTGAGGGGAGACTAGTAAGCAGGTGCGTATTATCTCTTGGGAATTAGCTGTGAGTTGTCAGTGGACCCAGGGCTGAACAATGCAGGGAGCACTCTGAGTGCTTGGGGGTTGGTGTGTGCCTATCACTAATCTGTACAGAGAGAGCGAGGCCTGCGGAGGCCTGGCAGTCCGTGCTTGCGTTGCCAGAGGCTTGTGGAGTCAGGGATCTGATCCACAGCAGGTACAGTTGAGACTTCCTCACGCTAAGGGCAGGTGGTCACAAGGTGCCTCACAACCCTGGGAATCCCTGGGAAGCACCACATATGGTCCCTATGCTGTTTTGGGCTTTAGCAGGTTCCCATTAAAACACTGGAAACCCCATTGCTAAAACCCAATCTTAGACAGTTTAAAGACCTGCTATAGCAACAGGAAAACTAATAACTCTGGTTTCCTTGGAAACTTTGAGATGTAGTTAGGAGGTACCAAATACTTAAAAAAATCATACTGATCCAGAGAAGCTGATATAAATTGATGTAGATTCAATTACTTCAAAAGTGCTTCAATGATTTACGCCACCTGAGAATCTTGCCTTTGCTTTTTGCACAACATTTTGAGAGGCGAATTTAAAGCTCTGGCCTAGGAATGACAGTGCTGATGTCTTTTTGCTTCTTCTCATTAATATCACTCATAAATTCACACAAACAAAAGATTACTGCTCCAGAGACAGTCCTAGAGATTGAGAAAGTGACAGACAAAGCTGCCTTTGCTAAAGAGCAGAGTGTCAGCCAGAAGTGAGTGATGACACCAATTACCATTTGCAAATTAGTTAGTGTTCATACTATCAATTTTTTTCCCCTAAACCCATCATTGTCAAAATTGCTGCCATTCAGGACTGATTCTACAGTTGGATGAACCCTTTGGAGCTCCAGGTTTTATGAACTTCTGCAAATCTTTTTTTAGCTTTGCAAAACTTATTCATGTTTGAATCCCCAGATTGTTCTTTTCCCCAAAGGAAAATGCTCAGTACCTTTATAAAGCAGACATCTTATTTAAGTGTCATAAGTAGAGACGCAAGGATTGTCATATTGGATCTAGTCCAATAACAGATGCTTCAAAAGAAGATGCAAGAAACCTGGCAGTCGGCAGCTATGGGGTAATCTGTCCACAGGGAAAGTTCCAGCTGAGGACCAAAATTGATACATAACTAGGCACTGGAGCTGAGCGAAATTTTTCAGCTGAAACTTACTTTTGACAAAAAAATGCAGATTTGTCAACATGGAAGCATTTCATGAATTTGTGTCAACTTTGCCAAATGGTTTGTGTGAAACCTTCCCTCCAAAAAAAATTCCAAAAAGTCAAACGTTTCATTTTGACATTTTGAAAACATTTTACTTTTTCAATTTAAAATGACTTTGTTTTGAAATTTCCTTCAAAATTATTTTTAAAAATCCAAATGATAAAAATGTTCATAATCTAAACAAAACATTTAATTCAACCCAAAATGACTTATTTTTTTTTACTTCTCAATTCACTGAAAATTTTGAAAAATGTCATTTTCAGTTTGATGCCAAAATTTTTTTTGTACCAAAAAAATCCATTTGCCCTCTCTCATAGGCATCCAGGATGAAATCTTGGGCCTACTGGAGTCAATGTCTAAATTTGCATCGACTTCAATGGGGCCAGGATTCCACCTCCACTATCCCCAAACTTTAAAACAGCAAAAGGTCATGCATGTGTTCTAGTAGATTAGCATTAAGAGAATACAGCATTCATCTGAATTTCATGCAGCTGGTTCACTTCAACTTCATAGAATCCTAGAATATCAGGGTTGGAAGGCACCTCAGGAGGTCATCTAGTCCAGTGGTTTTCAAAGCCGGTCTGCCGCTTGTTCGGGGAAAGCCCCTGACACACCGGACCCATTTGTTTACCTGCCACATCTGCAGGTTCGGCTGATCGCAACTCCCACTGGCTGAGGTTCACCGCTCCAGGCCAATGGGGGCTGCGGTAAGAGTGGCCAGCATGTCCCTTGTCCCGCGCCGCTTTCCGCAGCCCCCATTGGCCTGGAGCAGAGAACTGCGGCCAGTGGAAGCTGCGATCAGCTGAACCTGTGGACGTGGCAGGTAAACAAACCAGTCCGGAGCGCCAGGAGCTTTCCCTGAACAAGCAGCAGACTGGCTTTGAGAACCACTGATCTAGTCCAACCCCCCTGCTCAAAGCAGGACCAACACCAATTAAATCATCCCAGGCAGGGCTTTGTCAAGCTGGGCCTTAAAAACCTTTAAGGATGGAGATTCCACCACCTCCCTAAGTAACCCATTCCAGTGCTTCACCATCTTCCTAGTGAAATAGTGTTTCCTAATATCCAACCTAGACCTCCCACACTGCAACTTGAGACCACTGCTCCTTGTTCTGTCATCATTTATACTTTTTATTCATTATTTCTGAACATTTGTACGAACAGATATTTGTCCACATAAATGTTTGGTGAATGATTGTTCTTGACCCAAATACCCATATTCACATGCAACTAATAATATTCTTGCATGAATAATAATATTCACTGTTTCTTAGACTCCTGTTTAAGAAGTTTCATTTATAAAATAGAGTAGCAGAAATAATACCAAGGATGTGTCTTCACGCAGAGTTAACTCAGGTTATCTATGCTAGAGTTTCTCCTTGAGTTATCTATGCTTGCGTTACTCCTCTTAAGTTAGCCAGGCTTGAGTGAGAGTAGCTACATTGTGAAATAGCACTCAGTTGCTGTGTCCACACTGGCTAAATCTGTTGGATAATTTATCTGCAATCATTCCTTCAACCAGCTCTGTGTACAATAAAATGACTTTTAAAGTAGGTGCCTGCACTGAACAAAGGAAATTGAAGAGAGCAACAATAAGCTACTGGTAGCAAGCATATCTGCACAACCTTCTCAGAGACCAACCAGCCATGTGATTGATGATACTGTTGGTTTCATTAGCAAATGACATATGGACACATTTTCCTGTTAGTTACACTAGTTCAACACCATGAACTTCAGTGAGGTTGTACTGGTGTCAGTGTCAGGACAATTTGATCTTTAGAGTCTAGGACTCTGGAGGGACAGTCAGCAGGAGTATGGCAACATTTTGAACCTGCGACTAATTATTATTCATTTATGTGGAGAAGATGTCTAGACACCCCAACCAAGCTCTATACAAACATATGATCCTTGCCCTAGAGAGCTGACAATCTAAGGAACAGCTAAAATGGACATTTTCCCCACATGGATAAAGAAAGAGAAAAGATTCTAAGAATTAGATCTGAGTTTCTTGTATTGCTGGGCAGGGTGCTACTGTACTCCCCTTTGCCAGCCTAAATCAATATTTTCTACTCTGAGAAAGGAAGACTGTAGGCTCTGGAGCAGAATTGTGAAAGCTGTAACTCCTCATTTCCCAAGTCACTGTCAGCCATTCACTAGCTACATTCCAGCTGAGCATATTTCACTATATGCAGTGGCTGTATTTAGTAGATGCAATCATACTGACAATCCGAGTGATGGAAACCCTAATCTGCACGTGCCATGCTCTATGGATCACCAAAAGGGGAATCTCTAGAGACACATTATTAATTAGAGGAAAGCAGGCACATTACTATTGTTATTTATGACTTATGATGCACCACACATGTGCATGACCCTTTACAAAACAAATAAAGATGGAGTCTCTGCCATAAAGAGAGTAAAAATCCAAGGGTCAGTTTGTGTCCTGCAACTCTAGGGGGGCACAAGGGGCGGGAAGGAGAAAGGACACAAGAAGCCCACCAGGGTCACCATTTAGGGAGGGGGGGCACTGGCCTCCCCTTGCATGGGTGGAGATTGGGGGAATGGGGAAAATTGCCCCCCAACTGGATATATTGCAGAGGCAATGTGTGTGGGGAGGTGCCCAGGTTTCCGTCTTCCATTAGGCCCTGCCCCAGGCCTGTGCCCCCACATGGGGCTTGGGACAGAGAGAGTGCCCTGGGGTAAGCGGCAACGCGAGGCGCTCTGTGGGTCCAGATCAGTTTCCCCACGTCGGCTGGGTAACGGCTGCTGCTCCCTCCAGGCACAGGACGGTGTAATCTTCAGTGCCTATGAATCACTGGGTGCTGGTGGCCATGGTGACTGTATCAGGTGGCCTAGCCTGGCCTGGTCTGGCCCAGCCTAGCCCAGCATGCATACAGCCATAAGGAACAGCGCTGCCCCCACTGTGCCAACTAGGGACTGAGCACATGGCCTGGCCCCGCAGCAGCACCACCCCCTCAGACAGAGCCCCTCCTAGTGCTGCCAACCCAAATGTTCAAAAATCATGAGCTTATGTAAAAATAGTAGATTTGGTGTTCTTTTTATTTGTGTTCTGCTTTTTGAGGCTTTAGGGTGCACTGGGGGTCATATTTTGAAATTACTCCCTGCACCCTGAGCTACCCGCCTTTCTGCACACAGCCCCTAGCTACCCCCTGCCTGCATCCTGAGCTATCCCTTCCCTGCATGCCTCCCTGCACCTCTCAATGCACACAGCCTCTAGCTTCCCCTGCCTGCACGCTGAGCAGTTTTCAAACTTTTTGAGCTGAGCTCCCCCGATTTGAGATATACTTTTGCACCCCACCCCAATCGAGGGAGGCTGGGTGGCCTGTTGAGTGAGTCAGGGGGTGGAGTGGTGCTCCCTTCCCAGGCCCCGCCATTTGGAGCTGGCCTGAGCCCCACTGGGTCCTGCCCCTCCGAACATAGATGTCAAACTACACCTATGGAAAAAAAAGAGAGTTGTCAGGTGCTTAAGTAGCCCCTGGATTCAAGGTTAAAGTTGCGCCCGTTCCCATCTGAAATGGTGCCCCTGAAGCCCACTCTTCCTCCCCCCACCTTTTGCCCCTGCACAGCAGAAGGACACAACTGGAATCCTTGTGATCTCTGGACACAGGAGAGAAGGAGCCAGGGATGGCCACAATGGCTAGGTATCAGAGTAATAGCCGTGTTAGTCTGTATTCGCAAAAAGAAGAGAAGTACTTGTGGCACCTTAGAGACTAACCAATTTATTTGAGCATAAGCTTTCGTGAGCTACAGCTCACTTCATCGGATGCATACTCTGGAAAGCATAGAAGATCTTTTTATATACACACAAAGCATGAAAAAATACTTCCTCCCACCCCACTCTCCTGCTGGTAATAGCTTATCTAAAGTGATCACTCTCCTTACAATGTGTATGATAATCAAGTTGGGCCATTTCCAGCACAAATCCAGGTTTTCTCACCCCCTCCCCCACAAACCCACTCTCCTTTGTGTGAAATAGGAAGAATCAGTCATCTAAAATGGCACATATGTGACTCATACAGAGGTGATGATGATATATTTATTTATTTGTGTTTTGCTAGTGCCTGAAGGGCCCAAGCTGATGTGGGGCCTCCTTGTGCTAAGTGATTGTGCTAGGCGCTGCACATACATAGAATTGAAGATTCTCCCTGCCCCAGCAAATTTACTGGCATAAAGACAAGATAGACAACAACAACAACAAAAAGGTAACTTGCCAAAAGTACAGACCTTTTAAATTACAATGAAATTTCTTCCCAGTTCCCCCTTCACATGACAACCTACTTCTTCTGCCAGCCTTCCCTGTCCCCAGCTGCCAGTTGAAATCTTCACTGTCCTTGTGTGATGGCCACCACCTTGGCATATGAGACCATGTGGGACACACATATATCAATGGTCTGATGTTTTGAACTCTGGTGGGGCCAGAAGCCATGTATAGGTCTTCAAATCCAAAATGTATTACCCCTATTCATCCAACAGGATGGATGTTTGTTGAGCTTTATAGCATGTTGCAGCACCTATCTATTTATTCAGTCCTTTCTTGACTAAGAGAGTTCTGTTTATTCCTTTTAAAAAAAACTGACTTAGTTCCACTTTGTTTCCACATACACCGGGCTTCCCTACTGTATACTTTATAAAGCTAAAACAAATATCCTGACTCTACGTAGGCTATATAGATCACTACGGCGGTGTCTTCATTGCCTTTTATTTGATGTTCCTGAGCAGCTTGCAAAACATTTGGCAATAAAATGGTTTCTATTTTGGGGGCATGTGGAACTTTCACTGAAGTCAAAGGAAGTTTTGCGGAAAAGTCTTTACCAACATATGCCCCTTTGTGTTACTGCTATAAGCAGGAGAAAGGTTACACATTAGAACAGCGGAGAATGTTTCACATGAAAACAAATTCTTTAAAAGCATCTTTTCCCCCTTCCCGAAAATATAAATGTTGGGCGTGTGACAGAAAGATTTTATGTTTGTTTCACCACAGTTGTGTCTTTACATAAAGTTCTCGTTGCTTCATGGTTGCAGAAGAATTTTTTTTTTCAGTAGCATGTCCACCAGCAGCACGGCAGCTAGAGGGCCAGAGGAGTAAAGCTCCATTGAAATCAATGAGGCTGTGCAGATAGACAACAGTTCGGGACCTGGCCCAACGGCAGCCACCTCTGGGCAATGCATCAAAGCCATGCAATGTCACAAAGAGGTTAATGAAAATAGAATACCTGGCTCAGAAAGCCAGTGAAGAAATTGATCAATGAAAACATCTAGGTTACATGGCTGAACTACAGTCTCCTCTGGTCAGTAAAATATAAGCACCACATTTATTGATAGAGCAGAAGAAAGATTTGTCTGAATGGAATTTAAACACTAGACTAAAGGGAATATTAAATCTGCAAGGTTATAAAATGCAAAAAATTAGAAGAGGAGATGCAACTTTGTACCTTACAGACTATCACAAGCAAAGGAAAAGGCAGTGGAGACAGATCGCTCAATTTCCAATTGCCTTTGCTCTCAGAACTGTCTCTTATTCCAGTGTGAGCCACAAGACAGCAAATCTAAGGTGCTGTAGGCTTATTCCAGCATAACGTTCTCCATTTCTGGCATCTGAACTGCTTCAGGCTCTGGTACTATGGAAACCTGTAGGGACAGATCTTGAATTTGCACATGACAACACACAGATAACCATCAAACAGAGAATATCATCTGACAATTTGATTGCTATTTGTTTAGAAAAGAATATTTAATTGTGTTTAATCCATATCATTGTGCTTTGTTGACTTCTAGAATCTGTAAATTGTGTCTGCAACAAAGCAAGGTTCCAGGAACCCAAGGGAATAAGATGAACAAATGGAAGCAAGAACCACAAGTGTAGCTCAGGCCAGCTATGGAACCACTTTGGTATAACAACGTTGCTCAGGGGTGTGAAAAATCCACACCCCCTGTAGTTATACTGACCTAAGCTCCACTGTAGACAGCATTATGTCAGTGGAAGGGCTTCTCTCACCACCATAGCTGCCACTTCTTGTGGTGGTGCAGCTGCGCCAATGCAGCGTTTTAAGTGTAGACCGGCCCTCAGAGGTGAAGAAGCCTGATGCAGAATTATGTGAAGTCAGGAGGTGGGACTGATCTCTCCTGTCCGGGCAAAAGTTTTGTGGGTTATTGGATATTCCCTTAATCATAGAATCATAGAAGATTAGGGTTGAGAGACCTCAGGAGATCATCTAGTCCAAACTCCTGCTCAAAGTAGGACCAACACCAACTAAATTATCCTAGCCAGGGCTTTGTCAAGCTAGGCCTTAAAAACCTCTAAGGATGGAGATTCCACCACCTGCCTAGGTAACGCATTCTAGTGCTTCACCACCCTCCTTGTGAAATAATGCCTGATCCAAAACCCCTTTCAGTCAATGGAAGACTCTTAGTGACTTCAACTGGCTTCAGCTCACACCCTAAATCACTAAGAAAATAGATTGAAGGGAAAACAGAACCAAATCTTTGCAGACTCCAAAGGGCTCCAGGGTCACTACACACTCCTGGTAACTAATTACTATTTTAGGAACTAGACCAAGTGGGGCCTGCTGAGCACATCTCAGGAGGCACCTCAGAGATAAGGCCCTAAAGGAGATTCCTGTTTCCTTTGTGCATGGAACTCTCTCATTAGACAATTGAATTCCATTGTAACAGAAGCTGATTGTCTCATTGCCAGCATTAGTTCCATATTTCCTAGAGATAAAAGGCCAAATTCTGACCTCAGCTGCCTCCGTGCCACCCCTCTGACATCACCCAGGTCTCTCCAGATGAAACGGAGTGGAATCTGGCCCATGGTGCTTAGATCTCACTCCCCTTTGAAATGTCCCAGTTTTAACTCTCTCTCTTTCTGTTTTTGTTCATTCCATAACTCTTCTGCTTGAAAGAAGACTAAAAGGCAAACTCACCTCTAGTGGAACCCCTTCAGAGTTGTGCCAGGGATGAATTTAACCCTAACTTTTTGCCCAGACTTTGCTTTAGTCTTTTACTATTATTTTATTTATTTATTTTTGGAGGCGGAGGAAGAGGTTAGGATTTTACTGAGATCTGTGAAATCCAGATTTAAAAATAAATTAAAGAATGTAGGGAAGTGGCTTGGACTATGAGGCATGAGAACAAACTGAGATTTCAATTTTTAAGCATGGTTCTTTGATCCTCCCTTTGTTATCATTTTACCAAGCCTTAATTGGTTGGCTAATGCATATTTAGAAAGGGTTGGTTGCACTTCTAAGTCAGAGAGAGGGAGAAAGTAGTTTGGGAACCTTCTTTCTGTTATTCTTTCTGGGTGGAAAGGCTTGAACAAATGGGGGTTTAATTGACTACTTAAAAAATCAGTCTGGCTTACTGCCCATTCAATAGAAGGGCAAGTCATTTACGCATCTGATTACTCAATCAGACCATTTAACATTTGCTGCTAATGCTAATCCCTTCTAGCCCAGAAAAGCTACCCAAATAGTTATAGGGCTGGGTTCTCTGCTGAGTCCCATGTGGACACCCTGCATAGAGGAGGAGAGAGTGGAGGGTGAGGAAGCTGCCTTTCTGCTTCCCAAATCCTGGGCTGCTTCAGAGGCTTTGGCAGCTTGACACTGGCTGCAGCTAGACAAGGTGGCTGAGGTGACATGTTTTATTGAACCAACTTCTGTCGGTGAGAGAGACAAACTTTGGTGCTTATGAGAGCTCTTTTTCAGCTGGCTCATAGGGACCTTTGTGCTGGTTCAGGATCAGCAGACCACTGTGTGCTCTGCCCCGCCACTCTCTGCACCCCGAACACACTACTTCCCATCTCCGCCCCGACCTGCCCTCAACAGCTCTCTGCCATGCCTGAAAGAGGAAAAGCTTGGTAGTACCTTCAGGGCAGCTGTATGGCTGGTAGGACAAACATCCTCCATCAGATCATAGAACCATAGAATTAGAAGGGACTACAAGGGTCATCTAGTCTAAACCCCTGCCAAGATGCAGGCTTTGTTGTGTCTAGGTCATCCAAGACGGATGGCTATCCAGCCTCCTTTTGAAAACCAGCAGTGAAGAAGCTTCCACAACCTCCCTAGCCAGTCAGCTCCATTATCCTACTGTTCTTACAGTTAGGAAGTTTTTCCTGAGATTTAATCTAAATCTGCTTTGCTGTAGTTCGAACCCACCACCTTTTGTCCTGTGGCAAGAGAGAAGAACTTTTCTCCGTCTTTTTTATGGCAGCCTGTCAAGTATTTGAAGACCGCTATCCTGTCCCCACCTTAAACCCCCTCTTCCAAACTAAACATACCTAGTTTCTTCAGCCTTTGCTCATATGGCTGGCATTCCATCCCTTTGATCATCTTTGTCACTTTGTTGTACCAATAAAATAAAAACCAGCAGGATCTTATTAAAGGGAAAAAGGCAAAATACCACATTTACTGTGAATACAGAAAGAATCATAGTAAGCAGTTAGTTATAGTTATAACATTCCATTCAATCTCAAATTTATTTTCACATTCATTCATACAAACATACACACACACACACACACACACACAGGTTCTGCAAGGTTGTTATCATAGTTACCAGCCTTAGAGTTGCTCATGCCAAGCCACTGGCCAGGTGGCCTGGACATGAGGAGGGAGCAGGGCCTTGTCAGATGCTCATCTGATGCTCCTGGAAGTTGGTTTGCAGAATCAGACCCCCAAAGTTCTCACTTTTTAGAGTCTATTTTTATAGGAATTTCTTCCTATGCCAGTCTATGGGAATTGCTTCATCATGCTGTTGCTGAATCAATCAGCAGATAGCACATTCCCGACGGCTCCAAGATGTTATCTTGTTCTTTGGTTCTCCCATCCTTGAGGCTGTTGGGTGGATTCCAGTCTGCCCTCCGGGGGGTTCTCTGGTTATTTCCACTTGACGCCTTCTTCAGCCGATGGACACTGGATTCTTAGGCTGGCACCTCCCTGATCATTCAGTTATTATCCACACCAAGCATCCATCCACATACATCCTCTATCTCTATTTTAATCACAATTGTTAATACAACAAAAGGGTGGGGAGTCTCTGGGTGCTGTTTCTGTTGTTAGAGTATTGCTTTGAGTCTCTCTCTCTGTGAATTGCTTTGAGAATAGACTCTGTCTTAGAATGTACTAACACAATTAGCAGCTTGCAAGTTTCACACATAGAGGGAGAGAAACAGTACCAAAAACCAAGAGAGCTCTTAATTAGTAAT